AGGGATTAGAGTTCAAGGATTAGGGATCTACCACTGGATAAACTTTGAGTTGAATTCGCCCTTTGAAAGCCCATCTGTTTGAGGACTGTTCCTCTTGGCTGACGGCTCTCCAAGACTGTTTCAGCTGGAAAGGTTGTAGGACAAGGATACAGAAATCAAATTTGAAAACATACTACTTCTGCTTGATCAATGAAACCTCAAGCCTGGACCCGAAACCCCTTAACACTATAAACCCTTGATGGCTTCAACCGAATGGCTTCTCCTCGTCCGACAGAATGTTCTCGGTGGGGTCGGTTGCCGTCCAGCCTGGTGTGAGGGTTGAGGGGTTTAGGGCTTCACGAGATGCCCCCGCGCTGTGAACCTTGCATCCACGCTTTACGCTTCATTCTTCCTTGAAATGCGGATCTCCGGAAATTAGGGGCCCCTTCCCCCTGTTGAGAATCGAAAATTTGCGGTCTATATGCGAGCCCCTAGAACCTGTAAGGGGCTGTTTAGGGAGACTTGGGGGAATATGAAGGCGTGCATGGTGGGGGGAAATCTTCGCCCTACGGATAACAGACTAAGGAGCCTGACAGCCAACAGCAGGGCTCAACTGGCCTAGACGCACGTTAGGCTTCCAAGAATTAGGGGGCTTCTGTCATACTAGTTTGGATAATGGGGTTTGGGGGTTTGCCAGCTGCATGGCCGAAGCAGCGCAAGGTTTGGGGTTTAGGGTTGAGGTTCAGGATGTAAGGTTCCTACCTTGGTTAGGGTTTATAAGGGCTGAGGGAAGAACTCGGAGCGAGTTCTGTCATGAGGATTTGAACGTCTTGGGCTGCATAGTCCTCATGTCCATGTCATCAGTAAAATGAAACTCAGGCTTCTGGACTTCATCACCTCAGGCATCGCATAACATNNTATACCTCTGTTGCAACCTTGGCTATTGAATTTCAATCCATCCGTAACAAAAGACCCCAGAGGGGAGAAAGTCCATGACCAATAGTCAAAATCCCTGATCTTTCAGGGCTAGGTGACGGCTAGATTGAGAATTGCATTCAAAGTTCGCTCCCAAGCCGCAAAACCTAAACCTACATAGGCTGAGAAAGGCCCGGACTTGTACTTTGTGGGACGTGGGGTTGCTAATGGGTCAGGCAGCGCACTTATAACTTATAAAGTGGTACCAGGCTTCTGAAGGTGATAGAACACATTGATTAACTTAGTCCGGGTCCCTCACTGTATGCAGTTGGCTTGAACGCTTTAAAACTTGTACCTGTAGATTTGGAACTAGCACTTCTGCCATCTTTTCGTTTATCTTCGTTTTAAATTTTGTCTGCAGCAGGTACGCAAGTTTCTTGACACCATCTCCACATGTTCCTGAAGGAGGAACCCTATACGTAACCCTGTCTAGATCCAGTTCATGACTTTAATACATATATATGTGCATGTTACCCCCCACGCCACCCCCAAAGATCCACCGTTTTTAGGGCATAAGCCAAAAAAGAATTGTTCAAAGCAAGCTGGGACCATCTGCTTGAGGATCTCACTTTTTTAGGAGTACACGCCTTAGGAAAGCAGCCCGGAACCATTTGCTCGAGTATCCTTTAAGCCATATGCTTAAGGCCGGCGCATTTACATCCGCATTTAAGAATTCAAGTTAAATGCAGCCAGGCC